GCTTCAAAGCGGTAGTCAAAAAAAAAAACATGCAACTTCCCAGTGACTACTTCTTAGTCAATTGTGACCCCATTCAAAGCATAGTCATTTGATTCCTTGTCGAATTTAAAATGTTGATAAGAGCAGCTGTAATGGAGCTTTAAACACTAACATCTGGTTTTCAATGCAAATAAACTGTTGCTTTTGAATATCACCTCAAACACAATATTGAGCCGGGTGAGATTGAAGCAATCCAAAGTGCTGCCTCTGCATCAGTGAGGTCTGGTTGAAAGAGAGGGCTGGTGCTGGGACAGCAGTAAATCTGCCAGCCAGTCTTGGCTAACGTCAGCCTGATGGAGGCTCCAGACCAGTGGGGTGGGATGTTCCACTACAACCCTCTGCCCTATGGTCTACCTTCATAATTAATATGTTGTTGTATCAAAGTTGAAGCATTTGCCTCCGAAATGTCCCGCGCCCAGCCCCTTTATTAAAGACCTGACCTCCAAGTTATTGGAGCTGAAGGTTGCTCATGCAAACTTGGCACACCCCCGAGTGAAAACATCTGCTTTCCTCACAGGCAGGACCGCCACGGACCCCATGTCTCAGCTGGTTCCCCACAGCTCGGAGAGAGAGCCACTTCCCCTGTCCTCGCACACTGACCCCCACATTTATACCCCCCCCCCCCCCCCACCACCGCTGAGACCTCCTCAAGCCTTGGGCCCAGGCCTGGGCCTCTCCATCACCTCACACCCTCTCCCCCGTCCACATGTAGCACCGTGCCAGTGTGGTCACTTTACTGCTGAGAGGACTGCTCCTGTCTTGTTATCCCCACATCACAGCCTGTCGAGAGGAAGGGAGGGAGGGATGAGAGGGAAGGAAGGCATCTGCGCTGCTCCCACAAAGCGGCGACTGTTGGAATGCTGACAGAAGCATCTGTCATCCCCTGCCTTCACACACTCACCTGCTGTCCGAGGGCCTGACTCTTCCTCCTTCGCTCCCTCCCTCTCTCTCTCTCTCTCTCTCTCTCTCTCTCTCTCTCTCTCTCTCTCTTCGCTCCTGCCTCTTTGAGCTTTCCCAGTGAATGTGTGAAGCTCTTGGACGCCTCCTTTAGAGATCCTACAAACTCGACACAAAGAAACTTGCAGATTTCTGTTAAATATGCGTTGGTGTTGTTTTAAAGTTGATTTTCCTAAATAACACAAGTTTGTTTAACCATTATAATAATGCAAAAGGAAACCCTCCAACGTGTACTATGAGAGGAAGGCCTCTGTGCGACTATGCAGACGTGTGAGATTCGCCAAGTCCTTGCCAAATTCTGCGGTATTTATCAACAAACATTGGTGTGGTGTTAATGAATGTACTGACCCGTCTTGCGACTACTTTATCATTCTCCAGTGGCACCGCCGTCCGTTCCTCTAACATGCTGAAGGGTTGCCAGCAGTAAGGGGAAAGATGCCAATCCATGTGTATGACACGCACATAAAAAACACACACACACACACACACAAGCTCAAGGACACCATCGCTCATTCAAGTCCAGGGTAGGTGCCCTTCAGATGATGCCACACGGGAAAGTGTAGAAACCCCAAATCAATGGTTTTGCACAGTTTGAAGCAGAGACTTTTTAAATTTTCCATCAGTATTGATGAGACTGAGTAATGGCAGATGAGGTTATTTACGTAGGGTGAGGTCTCTTCTCTTTTCCCCGTTAAAGAGTTTTGGAGAGTTTTTTCTTGTTCAAAAAGAAGGTTTAAAGATTGATTATGTTGCATTTCGTACAGATTGTGAAACCCTTTTAGGCAAATTGTTGTTTTTGGGCAATGTAATTATTATAGGTTGTTTCCCAGCAGCATATCTGCATATTGTCATTTCAATCAATATTTAAAATGTGTTACTGCGGCTGCCTATGTTTACTTTTAACATTGATAGGGACATTTTTGGACAGACAACCAATATGCACATTTATAAGTGTGTGTGTGTGTGTGTGTGTGTGTGTGTGTGTGTGTGTGTGTGTGTGTGTGTGTG